GAGAGGTGAGATCCCTTTCTCTTGGGGGGTGGGGCAGTGTGATTTCCCTTCTCACTCTGGCTGCATAAGGAATGGGAGTGGGGGATTGAGGAGCAATGTCAGGATGGTACTAACTTTTTTTTCTAATCTTAGGGGTAACCAATTATGTTCAGGGAAACTTGAAGGTTTTTCCAAATTTCCCAGAGGAGCTAGAGAAGAAAGAAGACTATGACATCTTGGTTTAGGCTGGGATTTTCATTGCCTCTGGCTGTCAGAAATCAGACCTTCCAGGCAGGATTATGCCCAAGAACTATCTTGTGCCTGAGAGGATGGCCAAGGGCTTTGTTCTCCCAGCCGCCCAATGTTTTAGGATTTAAAGTGACAAACGGGTCAGGGCCAGGTGCGGTGGCTCACGCCTGTAATCCCAGCACTTTGGGAGTCCAAGGTGGGTGGATCGCTTGAGGTAAGGAGTTCAAGACCAACCTAGCCAACATGGTGAAGCCCCATCTCTACTAGAAATACAAAAATCAGCCACGTGTGGTGGCGTGTGCCTGTAATCCCAGCTACTCAGGAGGCTGAGGCATGAGAATCACTTGAGCCCAGGAGGCAGAGGTTGTAGTGAGCCGAGATCATGCCACTGCATTCTAGCCTGGGGACAGGGTGAGACTCTCTCAAAATAAAAAAATAAAAATAAAGTGATGAACAGGCCAGCGGCAGCTAAAGGCTCTTCAGTCCCGAGGTGACTGGATTGATGCCCAATGCCAGGGAGGAGCTGGCATGAGACTCGCCCCACACAAGAGTTGTCCCAAGTCCTGGGAGGCAGTGGTTTGGAAGGAGGCAGTCTTCCTCTGGAAGGTGGGGCATGAACTCCAGTTTCTGGGTTCGGGATAGTGGTGTACCCAGGACACCAGATACTAAGGACCCTGGAAGCACCAATGTTTTGGCATCAACATGGAAAAGCGAGCCCGGGCAGGCTCTGGGTCTGTGGGAGTTGAAGCCTGTGCTGGGGACAGGGGAATGCCACAGGAAACAGGACCAATCCCAGGGAGCCCCACTGCAGAAAGGCTTGGGGGGCGTGGCCAGGCTTCACAACCTCCTAGGCCTTGGTCTCCAAAGCTGCAGAGAGAGAGGTGGGGTGGGCTGGAGGGGTCCCATCAGAGTTGGTGAGGCTTTCCAGAGGTGGGGGGCACATCAGAGCACTGGCAATGGGGCAGACTGACCGCCATAAACCCACCTGCAGGGTCTCATTCACAATTGGAGAGACAGCATCCAGCTCGCCCACTGGGAGGGTCTGCGGGGTGTAACGGCCAGTGACCAACAGTTCATAGAACCGCATTCGGGTTTCCCCTGTGGATGGGCAGGAAAGGGGTGACTCAGTGAGGTTCCAGGACGGGGCAGCCCCCACAGGGATTCCAACCTGCATGGCACCCTGGTGGGTCCCTTGGGCCTGAGACCCCAGGCCTGGGGAGGCTGTGTGACCCTGACCGAGTTCCCGCCCCCTCTGGAACTTACTCAGGGTCCCCACCTGTTCAACAAAGCTGCTGATCTACACCATTTTTCTGATCCTGAGATCCAGAAGCTAATGCCTCCTGGGGCTGAGACTCCTCTCAACTCAAACCCAAAATTGCTACCTGTGACACCAACCCCCACTCCATTACCTGGGCCATGGTGCCCAAAGAAAGAGCCAGGCCTATCCCCTTTCTGCTCAACAGCCAAGGGCTTGCAACAAGAGGACGGGAAGCCTGTGGCACAGAAGCCAGAGTTTGTAAATATCTGGGGCCAGGTGAGCAGTGGACTTTGCAATACACTCTAGGAGCACATTACCGTGAACGCCACAGCCCCTGACCAGGCTGAGGGCCTCAAGGCGGCCAGGGGCCTACCTTGAGCTCCAACCCTCCACCCCTCAGCAGACAGAGGCTTTTCTAGACCGGGCCCGGGGGTTATCGATATTTATAGAGTCTCAGAGGCAGCTGCTTACATATGCAAAAAAGACCCGTTCCTGGAGCTACACTTTACTGGTCTCTTTCTTGAAATACAAACTTAGCTAGCAGTCTCTGAGGGCTTTTGTGTTTTCTTTTTTTTCCCCAGAAATGAAATTTTGTTGAGACCTGGCTGCTGCTTAAAATGTGGGCCTGTGATGGGGGAGGGGGTGCCACATTCAATTCAGTTATGAGAGAAATCAGACTGCAGCCACCCAAGGTCCTCACTGCCCCCCATCCCCCAGAGACTGAGAGGCTGTGCCCTGAGAGGAGACACAGGACCAGGCACAGGCTCGGTGAGTGTGGGTGAAATAATCACCACCACCCCCGGCACCAGCTTAGAGTTTGGTCAATACATTTTAATCATTAAACGCAAAAAAAAAGAAAAGTTCTGATTTTCTTGCTTTGGGTTTGGCGTGTCCCGGTTGTCCCTGAACCCCCCCCACCCCTCACGAAATTCCTGGAAGCTGCACTTTTCCCCTCTCGGCATGGCTTCCCAAGGGACACTGGTGGGCTAGGGACCCAGTGTCTCCCCACAGGGCTGGCCCATCCTCAGATCACTTGAACCTTCTTTTACTGGTGGGAGCTTCCCTAGAGAGGCATCAGGCACACTTTGGGGAATGCCCTGGAGTCCTGCAAGCCCCATCGGTCCTGCAGGGGCCTCTGCAGACCCATAGGATGGGAGGTGTGGTCTCCCCAGCCAGCACCAGAGAGCACCCAGCTGATTCCAGTGCAGGGGAGGTGCTGCGGTCTCTTTAAGAGAGAGGAGGGAAGACACAGTGTCAACCCTGGAGCACCCTGAGCCTCCCGCCCCTCTCTTCCCAGCTCAATCAGGAACCTTATCAATGAAACAACACTCCCGGCCCCAGATTGGCTCCCACTTCCAAGGGGAAGGGGCAGCAAGGGAGGGAGGGGGACACCCTGAATCCTTAGAGGACTCTTTCTAGTTTCCAGACCTTCTCTTGACCCATTTAAAGGCATTCTAGTGGCACTCCCTCAGTCCCCCACAAGTAAACAAACTCTGCCTCCTCCCCTAACACAGGCAACACTGGGACTGTCTAAACCCAGGCCACCAGGGCTCAGAGAGGGGGCCCACCGGGGTGTCAGCGGTGGGGAAGCCTCCGGGTGGTCCCTAGGGGTGCGGTGGCCAAGGACCGGCACATTTGGTAAATTACAGACCGTCTCCTAGCAACAGACAACATATTTAGTTCCACTACTTTACCCTCAGGAGGGGGGGCAAGAAAATAAACAAGGTTTTCGGGGGAATCCCAAGGAAGAGTGGGGGGGGGGTCCTCCCCACCCTGCAGAAGTGGGCGGGGAGGTAAAGGGTCCAGCTGACAGGTATCCCCTCACTCCTCCCCTGCCGGGCTCACCTTTGGTGTCCAGCTCCACGTGGATAATGTTGCCCATGACGGAAGTGCTGTGCAAGTGCTGAACGGCCTCCTTGGCACCCCGGACGGTGGCAAAGACCACCTTGGCAATGCCGAGGTGCTTCTTGGTCTTGGGGTTGTACAAAATCTCCACCTCCTCCACCTCCCCATACTTCTTGCACATATCCCTTAGGAAGTTTTCTCGGATGTTGTCATTCAGCTTGGCAAATGTCACCTGCTTAGGAGGCACCGGGCCCACGTAGAACTCATCGATCTGGCAGGGGCCGAGGGGGAAGGGAGTTTGGAGAAGGTTTAAACCGAAGAGAAAACCCAACATTCCTCCAACACCTCGCCTGCCCGTTGAAAACAATGAAGGGTAAAAAACTAAAAAAAAAAAAATTTTTTTTGGAAAAAGAAAATGCACGCGGGCGGGCTCGGGAAGCAGAGGATTAAATCGTTTGGAACGTGGAAGTCCTCTGGGTTCAGAAGGAAAGGGGAAAAAGAAACAGTTTCTCTTTCCCCACCCCCCATTCTGGTCTCCTCTTCCTGCTGCCGGGTCTGGAGCGACCCTTTGGGCTTAGGAAGTTGTCCCCCTAAAGCCAGGGGGCTGGCGAGAGGGGAAGGTCTCGGGGCCAAGCTCCCGGAGGGCTGGAGCCCCCCGCGGGGAGTGCGGGACACTGTAACCGCGCCGTGATTACAGTTTCACCCGGTGTTATTTTGTTTACAGTAGCTGCGAGGGGACACCCTCTCGCCAGCGCTCTCCCCCTCCCCGCCAAAACTTCCCTGGCCCCGGACGGCGGGAACTGGGAATCCGGCTGGGCTCGGCCGGGACTGGCGTTATTTTCGAACTCCGGGGGGGAGGAGGGACAGCGGGGCAGTGGGGGGGGTCCTACTTTGAATTTGGGCACCGACAGCTCCAGCTCCTTGTTTTTGGTCCAGATCCCGACGACCCGGGGATCTTCGACAATTTCCACCGGGCGGTTGCTGGACATCTGCGGGGAGAAATGGGGGGAGGGCTGAGAGGGCTGTGCCCCTCCCCAGGGGCAGACCCCCTTCTCCAGGCACTTGTCAAACTCCAGGGATGGGGCCCTGTCTGACAGTTGTCCGGGTGGTCGGGCGGGGGTCCCTGGCCGCTCCGCGCGTCTCCCCGGACCCGGCGGAGGGGGGGGGGCGGGGGGCGCGCCGGCTACTCACCGCCAGGCTGAAATGCTGCCCATCGTAGCGGTACAGTTTATGATGCCCCTTTTTCAGAGCCGGGTCAATCATCAACTTGTAACTTCTCCAATGGTGGTTCCTCCTCTCGCCCGAAGGGCCGGGCTGCGGCGGGGGCTGCTGGTGGTGGTGGTGGGGGGGGTGACTGTTCTCCATGCCGTTAACCCAACCTGAAAACCAGCAAGTTGTTGTCGTCTCCCCCGCGGCAGCGGCGGCCGCTTCTACACACGCGAAACAATCCAGCCGGCCCCCACCCCCTCCCACCTTACCAGCGCGCCCCGAAAGGAGCTGTCTCGCTGGCTCCCCCCAAAACAAGAATAGAGCGAGGGAATAACCCTTCCGGGAGAATTACGCGCCCGCCCGCTCGGCCACCGTCTCGGGGAGGCAGCGAGGGGCTCCCGGGGGTCCCCGGGTCCGTCTGGCGGGGCTCCGGGAGCCCGGAGGACGCGGGCTCCGGCCCATGGTGCCCGTCCGGCCACCCGGCGTGGCGCTCGCCCGCTCGCTCGGCCTGGCTCGGGCGCGGGGCTCGCGGCAGGGCCTGGCGCGGCCGCGGCCGCCGCCGCCGCCCGCCCGCCCGCCCGCTCGGGCCAGAGCCGGGGCCGGGGGCTCGGGCCGCCCGGCTGCCAGCCGCGGCCTCTCCCTCCCCGAGCCGCGCTTACATCCCCGCCGGGCGCCGGCCTCCCTGCGCCGCCAGCCAGTACATGGTGTCCCCCGCGGGAGCCGAGGCCGGGGCGGCCGGACCGGGGGCCGAGAGGGGGGGGCGCCGCCGCCGCGGCTGCCGGGCCCGGAGCTGCTGCCGCTGCCGCCGCCGCTGCTGCTGCTGCTGCTGCCCGGGAGGCGGCTGGCGGCGGAGGCTCGGCTCCCAGTAGCCGCACATCCCACAATACACCGCTAAGGAGCCCGACCCGAGCGCTCACCCTCCTCCTCTTCCTCCTCCTCCTCCTCTTCCTCCTCCCCTCTCCTTCCTCGCCGCTTCCCCAGGCACTCTCCCGGCGGCGGCAGCTGCGCCGCCAAAGCCCCGGGCCCCAGCGGCCCCCCACCCCTCACTCGCGCGCTCCCACACTGCCTCCCCCTCCCCGGGGGAAGGCCTTTTAATTTATTTATTCTTCTGGGACTGGGGTGGGGGTCTTGGCTGGCGGGGGAGGGGGTCTCCCCGGGCTCTACCTCCCGCGGCCGGGGCTACCCTCCGAGCCGCGGCCGCCGCGGCGTGCGTCCCGGGCCTGCAAAACTGTTTCCAAACTGCCCGGGTCGGAGGCAGGCGCGCGGGGACCCGGGGAGAGGGCTGGGGTCTGGGGGGCCGAGGGTGTGTGTGGACGCGGGGAGGCCGGCGTCGACTCGGAGGAGTTGCAATCGAGGTATCTGCGCTTCGGCTTCCTCCTCCGGCCGCGACCCCCTCCCCGGAGCTAAGCTGGGGAGGAGAGACCAGGGTTCACCACGTTAGCATTCGCATTCCTGGGAGGATGCAGCCCTCGCCTGGACCTGGGAGATAGAAGCTTTCTTCTGTTTTTATTTTTGGAGGGGAGCGCCCTGCAATTGTCCTGAACACATGCTTTCCCCCCCCTCCTCCAGCCACCCGCGGAGGAGAGAGTCCCCCTTTTTTGCATTTATCTTTTCCTTCCCCTTTCTTTATTAAAGGTCCGGGAGTGGCGGCGGCCAATCAGCGCGCAGCTTCCATTTTGTGAGTTCAACTCCGAGGCTCCCGGGCTTCGCGAGGACGCGTTTGCAGCCCCCTCTGCCTTTCCTCTCGGGCAGCCGAGGCGCAGGAGCCGCCTCGCCGGGGCTCGGAGCTGGTGTAGCTCATATTGGGGCTCTTTTCGGGGTTTGTAATTTGGCCGTGGGTAGGTAATTGGCTGGAGCAGGGCGGCAGGGCGCGGCAGCCAATCAGCGTGCGGCTTCTATAGAGCTTGAGTTATTAGACGCTGATCTCAAAACATCCTTCATCAGACACGAAGGAGAGGCCAACAGATGAGGGAAGCCATTTTTCTGCAATGGAATTAAATGGCCAAGTGGGTTTTTCCTTTGTTGCAAATGGGGAATGTTTTTCCTTTGACTCCACCATCCAGTTCAGGACGTCTCAGTGTGTTTAACATTTGTCAACAGGCCCAAGGACTCACAGTTGGAAGACTGGAGAAGACTTTTTAAAAAGATCTGGATTTTTCCTTATGACTTGGAATCCATCTTTGTCTTGTATAACTAGGTCATAGCACACCATTCATGTCAGCAGTTAACAGTTTTGAATTCCAAAAAAACCTAAGTAAATGACATATTTGGTTTTTTTTTTTTTCCTCTTTGTTCTTTGGGTGGGTGGGGGGAGCTTGGAGCTGTCTTAATCTGTATTCTCTTGACTGAACAATAAATTTTTAAATATATCTAGTTTCCTCTATTAAACACTTAAACCTGGCCATCTTATTAACTCCTTCTCTCTTTTTAACAAGGTAATGTTTTAAATGTCTATAGCTTTAGGACTAGCGAAATGGCAGCAACAAAAAATTGTGAGCAGTTGTTACTCTTTTTAAGTTTTTTAAAAACCTTTTACATTGTAAGTACCCAGTCCATTCTGTCCTGACGCAGTGCAGTTTTTATGTTAATGTTACTGAGATGTCAATTTTCCGAACCTTCATCCGCATGTATGTCTTTGTCTCTCTTGTCTAATATAAGCCAGTTAAGATGCTTTGAGACGATTTTGCTTTTATAAAGCTAAGGATCTAGCTTTATGCTTTTGAAAATGTTTACAGCACTAAATGGTGGTCAGCTTTCTTCCCCGTAGCTTGTACACTTTCTTTGAAAATGGATTTATTTGAAGAAAAACAGCCCTGTTTTTCTCGTCTTTGGTGTTGGGGTGGGGGGAGCTGGTGGGTGAGGGAAAGGAAGACCTTCTCTTTGTGTTGAGACTAAAGCCGTCACAGGAAACTAGATTAAAACTGGAAAACAAGTCCTAGCTGGTTCCAGCAAACACCAACGTTAAGTGGGGGGTATTTTCTATGGTGGTTGGGCGGCTGGTGCGTCTTTTGCCTTTTGTTTGATTTGACTGTGTATTTTCGCCTTTTGTCTCTTAATGACGATCACACCATTGCTATATCCAGAGCAGTAAACAGTCCTCTGCGAAGCCGCCTTTTTGCCTACCCAACCCTGGAAAGTTTGCAGAAGTGGAAGGAGCAGAACTTGCCATGAGTGTAACTTACAAAAAGGTAACAAGAACAAAGGCACCACCACAACCCCCCAATTTTCCCAACTAAATCAAAAAATATATATGTTTTTACAATAACGTCTCCAAAACCACCGCCCAGCTTGATCTTCTAGACTCCATGGCACCGGGTTGAGCGGGTAAGTAAGAAAAAAAAAAGTGTCTTTTGCCCCTTCGAGGAAACCCTTTTGCAGGCCAAGCAAGGGCTGTATTTGGGAGCTGAGGGGAGAAGGAGGATTCTGGAGCTTTGTGTTTGGCAGCCGGAGCGGGCAGTGGGGGGGTGGGGGGATGGGACGATGAGGGCTCCTCGGACCCCTGTGCCTCTTCTGCCCCAAGGGCGATAAGAGGGGTTCCGCAGCGACCCTCGGGGGTCCATGGAGCCAGCCCGCCTGCCTTCGCCCCCCTTGCTCGTCCCAGGTCTGAGCCTGGATGAAAAGAATCTGAAGTGCTTTGGAGACAGGGCTCAAAAGACGAGGGCGCCTCCTCGCCCAGCCTTGGACCCTTTTTCCCTTTCGATCGTGAGGGTTCCGCACCCTGAAGCCGGCTTTTGGGGCTCCAGGGCGCGCCTGCGCTGGCAACGCGAAGGAGGACAAAAGGCCGGCGTCCATGTTGGCACCATGACGCAGCATCTCCGCCCGCAGCCCGGCGCTCCAGTCCTCTCGGCCGCGCTCGCTCCTCCTCCCAAACACCACTTTTATTTCCAGGCTTCGAGCCCTTCGCGCCTGGGCTGGGCCGGGCCGGGCTGGGCTGGTCGGGCGGGCGGGCCCGGCCAGACAGGGCTTGCGGTGCTAATGGCGGCGGCTCTCCTTCCTTCCTCCTTCCCCCTAGTCGTGGGGAGCCCGGAGCAGGAGGCGGGCCCACGGCCAGGTCGGGCTCCGAGAGCCCGCGGGGTGGCAGCGCCGGGGATCGGGTCTCGCGGGCCGTTTGGGGGACCGCGGGCCTCCGGGGCGTCGCGCGCGGCGCCTCCCGCGTTGGCCTCAGCCAGGCGCGGCGGCCTGACGGGCGCCATTTCGCGCTCTGCCCGTGGCTGGGGCGGTGGCGGCCGCCGCGCGCCAGGCGGGAGGAGCGGCCGGGGAGGGGGCTGGGCGAGCCGTCGTCGCCCGAGTTCCAGGCCGACCCGACCCGGAGGCCCACGAGGGCACCAGGAGGCCTCGCCCGGGCCGCTTCCCCCTTCCTTTGTCCTGCACGGGCGCCCGCAGCCCAGGGCCACGGGGTTGGCGGGGCTTCAAGGCCGCCCCGTGTCCCACTGGCTCCCCCGGAAGCTGCGGCCGTCTCCCCGCTGCCCACCCTGCTCTGGCCGCCTGGGCCCGGCCTCCCAGTCGCCCTTTGAGAGCCGAGCCGGCGGGGGCGGGGGTCACCCCTTTGTCCCCACTTAAAGTGTGAGGCCCTCGCGGTGGCCGCAGACGCCCTGTTGGGCCGCCCAGGGCGCAGCCCTCCAGCCCGGCTCTCCAGGCGGGATGTGGGGGAAGCCTGGGAAAGCGGAGGGGCCCCTAGAATCCCCCGAGGCGCGGGGCTCCCGGCGAAGCCTCAGATCTCCGGCCCTTCCCGGGAGGGTGCGGGCGGGGCGGGCCTTTGGAAATGCAGATGAGCCGCCGCCCGGCCCGGGCTCAACCTTCTGACTCAGCCGCCCCCTCCCGAGGCTCCTGTGGGGGCCGCTGGGGGAGGGGCGGCGTTTGGGGGCTCCCCTTCAGCCCCGGAGCCCCCTGCCCGCTGTGCCTTCGGCCGGTCACATCTCCGCCCCACGCGCTCTGCCAGCCGGGGGCCGCCCTGATCCGCCTTCCTCCCATCTAGGTTCTGGGCTGGAGAAGGGGCGACGGCCGGGCACCCCCCGCGTGGACAATCTTTCCTTCTGTCGACTGCAGGGGCAGGCCTAGTTTGACTCTGACAATCCTCCCACTAAGGTAGGTGTGAGTCCTTGCCCAGACGGTGAGGAGACTGGGGGGGGGGACCCTGGCCTGCTGCCCAGGGAGGGCGGAACCCCAAACCCGCCGGGCTGGTTCTGCGGCCCCGCCCCCCGCCCGCCCAGCTGCGAGCGCGTAGGGCCGCCTGCTGGGCCGCCCGGGCCATCCATCCCCCTCCTGTCAGCCTCTGTTGTCAGGCATTTGGGGCGTGCAATTCTCTGCCGAATTTAGCAGCGTACAAGAGGCTCCACTTGCAAGTATTTCCCAGTTGTGTGTTTTTCGATGGGGTAGGGCCCTGGGCGCCTCCTACTTCTGAAAGACGCAGGTCACTCCCAGATAGCCCAACAGTGCCGTGGCCTCTCCTCCAGCTCCCCTTGGGGGTTGTGGGGTGACAGTGTGAGTGGCCCTCTGATGTCTGGCTGCCAGGGTGGCAAAGAACAGCCATCCGAGGTCCTGGCCAACTTTGTGAAAGGGCCTTCCTTGAAGCTTCTCCTCCTTCCTGGAATCCTTACGATTCCTCTCCAGTCCCCAGACGGGCAGGCCTGCATGTAAGCCTTGTTTGTAGAACCAGACAGAGGTGGATTTGAAACCGGGTGAGCCATTGCACAGCTATGACCTTGCCGAAGCGGCATAACCTCCGAGACCGTTTCTCCATCTAGGAAAACAGGGCTAGATCAGTGATCCTTAATCTGGAGCTGGCATCGGAATCACGCCCGAAGGGGGCTCTGTCAAAGTGACTGGAGCCTGGTCCCCGAGTGTCTGATTCAGTGGGTGGAGCCTGAGGACTTATTTCTAACAAGTTCCTGGGTGATGCTGCCGCTGTGGACTGGGAACAGGTTTTGAGACCCCACACCCAGCTCCGGGCTTGGTAACACCTGGGGTTTTGAGGCAGAAGCAGGAACTTGGCACATAGTATCTGGTTTCACTCGGACGCTAGCCGATCTCCAGTATTGAATAGTTTCCCATCTTGGTGTCCGAGAAGCTCCACAGCTGGAGGTGGCAGCTCTTGGTCTCCAACCCCCATGTAATCTCTGGTTTGTGATTGCTTTGATGAACCATTTGGGTCCAGGTGCTCCTACTCACACCATCTCCCCTATCTGGGAGTTGTGTCCCACCCCCACTGTAAGGGCTTCGCTGAGCTTTGGGAACCTGTGGGGCTTAACCGGGGATCTTGCTACAAGTATCTGGCGCTAAGTGAAGGGAGATTGTCAGTCTGTTTGGCTTGGGCTAGGATCTCCATAGTGCTGCTGACCTTGGGCGAGCGTCTCCCTGTAAAATGATCGGGATGCCTGCTGGAAACGGTGGGGAGAGGATTAAGTGCGTTAAGAGGGCCGTCCACCCCTGCAGGCTTGGCTGGAGTTGGCCTCCATTGTGATCCTTGGTTATTGCTTGGAGTGGCTGCAGGGTGTGGGGGCTGGGCTGCCTCAGAGCTCCTCCCCACCAGTCCACCTGCCGAAGCACGTGGCCCAGCCTCAGGGCAAAGGGGAATCTGGTGCTCCTTGGGAAGGCGGCCAGCGAGGTTCTCTGGAGCGGTTGACTCCAGCCGGAGGTAGAGGCCTGTCCCCGGCTGCTTGGGTTGTTCCATGATGGGGTCAGGATTTGGGTCACCCACCCGAGGTCTGGGGAAAAGTGTCTTGCCCAAGGTCACAAGGCCACCACCAGTAGAGCCAGGATGGGGTTCCAGGTGGCTTGACTTGCAGCCAGCGCCTGTGCCCATGGCACCCCCTCACCCCAGCTGTCTGGGTTATTTTGGGCTTCGTCCCGTGCCAGCTGTCTGCTGGCATCCCTGCCCGGGACTGTCTGGTTTTAAGTAACCGGCGTGGTGCTCTTGGCTCCCCCTTGAGGGCCAGGGCTGGGTCTTCAATCCCGGATGAGCTGTGCTGGGTCCGTCTCCTTTGCTGGGAGGGAAGGGTATTCCTGCCCAGACTCCTAGCTGCCCTAGCTGCCCTAGTACAGCAGGAGGGTGAAAGCACCTGGTAAAAATTGAGGTTCACATTGTTAAGATCCCGGAAGCCTCCTCTCTCTCTCTCTCTCTCTCTCTCTCTCTCTCTCTCTCTCTCTCTCTCTCTCTCTCTCTCTCTCCTCTCTCTCTCTCTCTCTCTCTCTCTCTCTCTCTCTCTCTCTCTCTCCTCTCTCTCTCTCTCTCTCTCTCTCTCTCTCTCTCTCTCTCTCTCTCTCTCTCTCTCTCTCTCCTCTCTCTCTCCTCTTACTGAAACCTAAGTTTAAAATTTGATTCTGTCTTTAATCCCCCTTGATCTCCCATGACCCTCTACCGCCCGAGGGTGTGGCTCCTCCCTTTGGATAGGTGCTCTCCGGGTGGGGTCTTTACTCCCCACCTGCGTTGGATAATTGATGTATGGCTCCCTTCCAGCTGCACCTGGGAGGGCTCCAATCAGGGAGCCGGCGGGTGCTCAGCTGTGGTCTTAGTGTGGTTCTCGGCGCGGTGTCGGGACCCACCTGGCTGGACTATACCCTCCTCGCTCTTCTTTGTCCCGCCACCATCACCACCTGGGGCCTGGAGGGCGGGGAAGTTTGTCCTCCTGCTATCCCTGCTGGTCCCTCGAGGGCGCCCCGCCCACCGGTCATCCAGCGAGCGTGGGGCGGGGCCGCTGCTGGCGCCAGGCCCTGGGGCCTGCTGAGAGAGGGCCACGCCAGCGGAAGGGCCGGCGGGGAGGTGGCGGGACTTGCCTTACTACTGAGACGCCGGTGTCCCCGCCTTTTCCGGCCCCTCCACCCAGAGCCCTAGCGTGGAATATGACCTTTCGGACCCTCTGGGTGGAGAGACGCCGAAGCCTCTACCCGGGCTGTGCCGTGAGTCGGCCCAGCCATCTCAGGTTGCCTGGCCCAGCGCGTCTCTGGCTGGCCTGTGACCTCCAGCAAGCACCTGCCCCACCCCCCAGCCCCCAGCGCTGGGAGGAGCAGGTCGGGCAATGTTTTGAGCTGTTGCTGAGTCCGGCTTTTGTGAGGGGAGCTTTTGGCACTCCAGGAGTGGCCCTGCCCCCGGCCGGTCCCTGAGTGCTCGTGGGCAGCTGAGGCCTGGAGGCTGCTCAGGGAGGGTAGACGGACTTGCCAGCCCACCTCCCATCCGTGCGACTTCAGGGAGTAGCTTCATCCCTGAAGGCTGTGTCTTCTGCCTCGTATGGGTGTTACCTCTCCAGCGTTCTCAGGCACCCAGGGAAGTGGGTGCCACAGCATTGCCTCACTGGGGCTGGCCAGGCTTTGCTCTGACAACTCAGCAGTGGCTGGACCCCTGCTATTCCCTGGGGCTCAGTTTCCCTGTTGGCCTGGGTGCAGACACCGATGACGACCCCACAAACGCCACTCGGCCTTTCCCCCAGGCTTCAGTGGCCCAACAACTCCTGTGTGAAGTACCAGCTTAAAGAATCTTCTTTTGCCTTCTCAAACTCTCCAGGAATTCCTGGTGACTGGAAGGGGAGTGACTCGGGTCCTCAACCTCTTGGAGGTTAGGGAGCTTGCTGCCTCTGGTGGGCGTGCCCAGTTCTTCAGCCGGCCCAGCTCAGCCCAGCCTCCGAGGAAGCTGCGAAGCAGCTGGCTTGGCTTTGAGGTATTTTTAGCTACAGATCAGCACTGCTCCATCACCACGACAGGTGGGTCCAAATCAAACACTCCAGGCAGGTGGGGCTGGGGTTCTGCTGGCCTCCTGGCCGGCAGGGGCCGGTGTCAGCTGTTCTGCCTGGGCCGGGCTGGGAAGGGCACTTGTGCTCACTTCCCGCTTCCACTCCTCTGCAGGCTTGTGCTTTCATAAGCAGAGATCACAGCCCATTTCCTGGATGGAGAAAGTGGACGTTGAGGTCTGAGGCTTTTGAGGACAGTCAGGAGCCCTCCTGTGGGCTCGGGTGACACACTCAACCTGGGTCCTCTTCCTCCACCTCCAGGAATGCCTTATTCACCTCCTGTGGTCCTGGGGAACCTTGGCCCCAGCCCTGTCTCCCCAGCCAGTCACAGCTCCTCTGATTACTCCGGAGGAGCTCAGGGTCCAGCTGGTGGTTGGGCTCCTCTCCTCCTGTCCCCCACTCCCGTGGAGCCTGGCAGGCAGGTCCTCCATGATCTGACCCCAGTTACCTTGACAACCCTGCCTGGCCTCCCCTCTCAGGGCCCAGCCAGTGAAGAAGTTGAAGAGGTTTTCTAGCTGTCGTGCATTTGTCAGGCCCCACCCTGTTTCCCCCTGCCTGCCCTCCAGTGCTGCCAAGCCTTGTGCCAACCAACACTCAGCCTTTCCTAAACGGTTCCCCTCTTCCAACCTCCATTGCTTCCCCCAAGACTGCAACCTCCTGGAAGGCTGGGGCACAACTGCCTCTGAATAAACGTGTTGCAAAAAAGGAACAGATGAGTTGCTGTGCATTTGTCTAGTGGGTGCTTGACCCAGGAGACGCCCCTTTGTCCAGTGACAGGAGAGGGCGTCCACCCGGAACCTGGGGTGGGTCCTCGTCTCCCCTTCCCAGCTCCGCCATGGTCTTGGGATTCTATGGGCGGTCGCTGGTGCCCTCTGGCGGTCATGCCGTGCCTTGCTGCTACCTGCTGAGAACCTTGACCGTGAAACTGCCAGGTTGGCGGTTTTCCTCCACGAAGTGAGATTTACCAGACCTTTGCCGAGATCTTGAAAACGGAGTCTTTGGGGTGGGGTTGCCAGCAAAAAGATTGAGTCCTGCCAGCCCCTATCTGAAGAAACTACCGAAGGTCACTTGCCCCCAACCATGCTGCTGTTGGGGTTTTGTTAGAAATGGGCTCTTCCTACCCTAGTTGGTAGAATCCCACGCTCCCGTGCCTACCTGCCGTGGACTGGCTCCAGGGGTCCCTCTGTCACCCTGACCGCTCACTTGGCTGGTGCCGAAGGCAGTCAGCCCGCCCAGGGTGGGGGTTACGATGACCTCAGCCATTAGACCTGATAGCATTGCATACAGTTAGTGCTCAGCAAGCTGTTTCCATCAGGAGATGCGAGGGTTGGGGGGATTCATGGGGTGAAGGACATGTGGCTGCTGGCAGGGAAACGCATTTTCTTAGATTTCTTGCTTGGTGTGGGGTTATCAGTCTCCAAAACGCAAGGAGAGGGACCCAGCTGACTTCAGCTAGAGCTAGACCAACCTGCCCCTCCCTGACAGCGTCTGGCGTGGTTCACGCTTCCGGCTCCTGCTGGAAGGAGGTGCCCGCCCACGTGGTTTGGGGCCAACCTGCGGCCGGCGTTGAGGCGATTGCCCGGCAGAGGGCGCTGGGCGTCCACCCTACAGCCCGGGGTCGGGTGCGGTTAAGGGGAGCCCAGTCCCTCGCCCCGAGCCCGTGCGCACGCAGGCGCCCCGAGGCGAGGTGAGGTGGGCAGACACGGCCCTCACATCAGCATCTTCCCCAGTGCCACCGCCGCTACCTCCTGTGGGGAAACTGAGGCCAGAGGCAAATAGGTGCGAAGCCACGCCACTGGGGCAGTGCAAAGCTAAGGGGCTTTTTCCGGAGCTCGAGGCCGGGGGCTCCTCGAACCCAGTGCGGAGGCACAGTCCGCCAATCCGGGAGGCCCTGTCTGCGCCGGCCAATCGGAGGGTCCCTGCCGAAGGAGGCGCCTGCCAATCAGGGGCGCTCTGAGTCGCTGGGCAGCCACGATCGGGTCTTGCCGGCGGGGGGCGCGCCGTGACGCGCCGGGGTGTCGGTGGGAGCTGCGCTTGCCGCTGAGCCCCGTTTCTCCGGTGCCGCAGTATCCCTGGTACTGAGAGCTGAATACCCACACCCAGGGCCGGGGCCGTAGCACATAGGAAACTGAGGCTAGGAGGTCGGCCGGGAGACTGCCTGGCGGAGGCGGTGCCGCTCCGGTGGGCGGGGCTAGTCCAGGCCCCGCCCCGCCCCGACCGCTAGTGCCCGGCACGCCGCTGCCAGTGCTGCTGGCTCCGTGCTATGGATGCCCCGGGGGCCCCGGTCCCGACCGCCGCCCCCGACCCGGGCAGGAAGGAGCTGAAGATCGTGATCGTGGGCGACGGCGGCTGCGGCAAGACCTCGCTGCTCATGGTGTACAGCCAGGGCTCCTTCCCCGAGGTGAGGCCCGCAGCGGGGCTGGGGTGGGGGCGAGGGAACCCCCCCCTCAGGCTGAGCCCGGAGCCCCGACCCCCGACCCGATTCAGGAGAGCCGGCCGCCACCCCGGGGCGCCCTCTCGGGAATTCCAGAGCCCAGCGGGGTGAGGGGGGCTGATTCCGGACGAGCGAAGGGGGGCGGACAGTGGGTTCAGCTGGAACCTGGGCCCACTAGAGACCAACCCCACCACGTCTCCCGCAGCACTACGCCCCGTCGGTGTTCGATAAGTACACGGCCAGCGTGACAGTTGGCAGCAAGGAGGTGACCCTGAACCTCTACGACACGGCCGGTGAGTGCGCCTGCGCGCCGGGGGTCCCAGGGGTCCGCCTGCCCGAAGGGTTTCCCCGCCGGGGCATCCCCCACCGGGCGTCCACACCCTGCACCCTGGCGGGGCCCTGGCGGCTCTTCACTCCTGGAGGCGGCTTAGAGTGCTGGCAGCGCGGCCCTAGAGGCCAAGCCCTGTCTTTAAGTGGAGGGTGTTTGGAGGAGGCGGCAAACTCCGGGGCCACCCTCCCAGCTCTGTGCGGAGAGCCCACAGCTCGTTCCTCTCCTGTGGTTCTAGAAAGCAGCGTACTTCTCTTGAGCCTCCCATGATTCCAGGATTGCTGCGCGGCCTGCTGTGGTTTCTGCAGACTCTGAGGGCCGCAGATTTGAGTCTCCGGGTGCTCGGATTGCCTGGGCTGTGTTTCTGGGTCCTGTGGTTCTGGAATGCTGCCGGCCACAGATCAGCCTGTGGCTCCAAGGCTCTGTGGGTGCTCTCTGCAGCCTGAGGCTCCGGGGTCCTGTGGGCATGAGTTCTGCATCTGCAGCTCCGGGGATTCCACGGCTTGCAGCTGGTGGTTCTGGAATTCTGTGGCTACAATTACTTCTGTGCTTTCCTAGTTCTCTGGGAGGAAACCAGACAGTGTAGAAAATGAACTAAGGAAGGAACAGAGCACTGGGCACCGGGGCCCGCACCAGGCTCTGCTGCTAGTCACATCCCCACCACGGGAGGTTTGTGGATTTCTGTTCAATTCCATGAGAGTTGGTGTTGTGAGGGGTGGAGACAGGAGGAACACCGTCAGTGGGAGGACCCTGGCTCCCATCTGGGCTTCATCAACATTGGGGACCAAAGGTTGAGATCCCCAGGTGGGGCCTCACCCCACCTCTGTGACTCAGTGTTTAGTGACCTGCGGGGAACTATGTCATCAGGTGGCCCTCCCCTTCCAGCTAAGCCTTTATGTGTGAGATGAAGGGTCCCATTGACCTAGGATGGAGCCAAAACTCAGACCCCCAACCCCTGCCAGCTACAACTTGGAGAGGACCGGAAAAGGGGCTGTCCCAGCTCAGAGCCCCCTCCATTCCGACTTCAGCAGGTCCTGCGTTGGCAAACTCTGAGGATCCTGTCTTTACAGGATGTGGGCCCTTTAGGGCCACCCCCAAAAGGGGACCCACCTCCAGCCCCAGGTGAGCTGGGAAAGCCCAGTAAAAATGTGGTCTGTCTCAGACACTTTTACTTTCTCATTTCTTGTCCAGGAGCCTGGGAGGGGGCAAGGTCATTAACCCCACTTTGTGGGTCAAGTGCTGCTGGGTGGAGACATTCCCAGCAACCCACAGCCCTGCGGCCCTGCCGGAGGCCAGGAGTGTTTTTCTTTCCTCCTCCTCTGCCCTTGGGGCCTCCCCTATCAGGCCGGGGTTCATGGTTCACAGTGGCCTCCACATCATGAGAACATGGATGGCCTTTCTGGCCTTGCCCAGAGAGATGCTCAAAGAACATGTCAGAGTAGATTGTAGTGTGGAGATTCTGGAAAGCTGCAAGTTGGTGTAGGAAGAATTTGTGCTAAAAGCTGCTATGAGAGGGACAGAGAGCATCTCCTACCATGGTCACCACAGCAGGCGACCACTGGCACTGTGGGGATCCCATCCACAGTCCCATCCTGTCAGACCTGGGCTTTGACACCAGCTCCACTGGCTGTGTATCACTGGGGATGTCTGGGCCTCAGTTTCCTCATCTGTCATGAGAGCTAAGAGGGTCACGAGGATTAAATCAGATTACTATGTGATGTCCAGCACTCCGCACAGGGGCTGGATCTGCGGAAGGGCTCAGCAAATGTCCTTGTGACTTTTAAGACCTTCTTACCAGGCTGGGTGCAGTGGCTTACACCTGTAATCCCAGCACTTTGGGGGCTGAGATAGGAGGATTGCTTGAGGCCAGGAGTTCAAGATCAGCCTGGGCAACATGACGAAACCCCATCTCTACTAAAAATATGAAAATTAGCCAGGTATGGCGGCATGTGCCTATGGTCCCAGCTATTCCGGATGTCGAGGCAGGAGAATCGCTTGAACCCGGGAGGCAGAGGTTGCAGTCAGCTGAGATCACACCACTGCACTTCAGCCTGGGCAACAGAGCAAGACCCTGTATCAAAAAGTAAAAATAAATTTAAAGACCCTCCTACCATCGCTGCCATGGTCCAAGCTGGCCCCAGCTCCTGCTGCAGTGGGGGCATCTGTCTTCCCTGGCAAGATTCTTCCAAGCAGCAGAGAAGCGGGGCTCAGGGGAGGAGCTGGCCTCATAGTCTGACAGACCAAGGAGGGGTACCCAGGAAGAAGAAATCTGGCTGCTCCCTCTAGGGTGTCCCCTGTGACCGGGGAAGACCTGCTTATTAGCGGAAATCCCCTGGTCAGTAAGCACTGCCAGGGAGGGTCCAGGTCCCGGTGCTTGTCATGAAGCAAGGCTTGGAAGGTGAATTCGGAGGTGATTCATCTCTGCCTGCAGGTGGTCGGCTCTCAGGAGAACATGGCAGAAAGCAATGACCAGGCAGCCATGTAGAGAGAGGGAATGGCCAAGCCAGAAATGAGTCTAGTAAATGTAGTTGTAGAAGGTTCTAGAACTGAATGGGCTACACCCAGTGGCAGAAGGGGCATCTTCTCAACTGGCAGCTGCCAGAGCTGTGCGACAGGGGCAGCTCTTGAGGCTGAATTTCTCCACACTGGACCAAACGCTGGCCCAGGGTTCAGACCCTGCCCACAGGGGCCATCGTGGAAGGCCCGTCTGGCTCCATCTCCATCCTGAGGAAGTAGTTATAGACACCGCAGCAGAGGGAGGGGAGATGGGGTGACAGGGCTCTCAGGGCTGAGGGGAAGGGGCGGGGGCTGTGGCACCCACTGCTCTGTCAGCCTCTCCCCGGCCGCGACATCCTCTGAGGCAGGAAGCTGCGGTGAGGTTTGAAGCTTCCTGGGCAGGGGGAGGCAGGGGGAGGTGGGCTGTGAAGACACAGGCGGGGCTGAGCTC